ATAGATTCATAGATTAAGGGTCGGAAGGGACCTAGTAGATCTTCTAGCCCGACCCCCCGCCAGGGCGGGAGAACAACAAAAAACCCCAAAAAGAGAAACGGGACTCAAATGAGTCCAGCCAGGTAGGCATCCAGCCTCTTCTTAAAGACCCCCAGGGTAGGGGCCAGCACCACTTCCCTTGGATGCGTTTTCAAAAGGGTTCATTTTTCATTTAATCATCTGAATTCAATAACCATGTGAAATACTAGGTGTTGATCACTTTGTAAAAATATTTAAATGTATATGTTCCTAAATTGTGGTATACCTTGGTATATGTGATCATTCACCTAGAAGCCTGCTCATACAAATTTGCAATTCAAATAGGGGTAAGTGACTACTAAACTATTGTAGTCCTTTATCTGAAATGATGGACTCTGCACCCAAGTATTAAACTTTGTTCTTTTTGCAACTAAGTGTTTTCCAATTTCTAGACAGTTAAGCACTGTGTTAAAGACACCTGGAAGTGCTGAAAAACTGATGAACAATAATAGTCAATTGAAAGTAAAAGTTAGTAATAAAAACCTTACTGTGACTTGGTCTATGTGTAAAAATATAATGATTATCCTGAGGATTGTGTTTGTAGTTTAACGTTAGTACCTGGCCTTAAATTCATAATTAACTATTTATTTCAGTAATGGGATTCAGTTACAATATTCATATCAAATCAAGGTTATGTAATGATTGTGCAGAGAGTTTGGAATACAGATGGCCAAATAATTAAATCTGTTCAGTTCTATATTTTTTCAACCTTTGATGCCTTTAGTTTTCAAAAACTTGTAAGTAACTTGTATCTTATTTTTGTCAGAAGAAACAAAATATTATTTTTCTATTTTATATACCACCTAAAGGCGCCAACTAGATCATATCCCCTTTCTTTTGTGCTGTACAAATGCTTAAGAGATTGACTGTCCTGAGCACTTTTCACTCTAAGTACCAAGGCAGAGAATGAGAGGGAAAACAGAAGCATACGACATGCCTGAGGTCATCTATCAGGTAAGTGGCAGAACCAGGGTTATGACCTAGACCTCTTGGCTTCCAGTCCAGTCCACACTCCTTTCCTATGTAGTTCTTCTCATCTGTTCATAGTAAGGTATCTAATTTCCTGTCACTTATACTAATGTAATTCAATTGTCTTCAATGGATTTAATTCTGGTTTATATTGGATTCAGGCTGGATACTCAGTGGCCACAGCTACATGAGACGCTTACTGCACAGTTGTTACTGTGCAGTCATTTAGCACTTGCATACACAAATACTAAATGAATGTGCAGTAACCAGAGTTACTATGTAATAGCATCCCCAAATGGCTTTTTGGTGATGCTGATTGCACAGTAGCTCATTACTACTGCGTCATAGTGTTGTGCCATGCTTCATGCCATGTGACACTATTGCGCAGTAGTAACAAGGTACTGTGCAGTCAGCATCTCATGTAAATCTCATCTCATGGCCAAAGTATTCAACTGCATTTAGAAATGTAAAAACATTGAGTTTGGACTTTTCAAAGTAGTTTATCTTTGCCAAATTTGACATTAGTGCATCCAGATTTTGTGATGTGTTTATTCAGCTCTCCAAACCTAAGTATATTGCCTGAAAATTCAACTCTCAATTTTATAATATGATTAAGTGCTGTAGATAAAAGTAATGTTCCACTCTACCTTTCCCTGCAAGTAGCAAAAAAAATCTAGATTTCCCAATTTAAGTGATAAAACCTGTGGCATAGCTTTAAATATTCATTTCCTGAAGGACTCCCAGGATAAGTCCTAGAAGTCTTTCAAGAGCCTTAAAATATCATCATTTTGTACTCAAACTTCAATTTCTGATTCTCTAAGCTTTGTTTTTGGCAGTCAAGGAACTTGGTTCAATGGATGTCATAATGATTTTCAGCTCTCTACAATATTAATGCCATATTATAGCATCTTCAGTTCACTTTTATTGAAGAATGCTGTTTAGTGAGTCAAGTTCAGATAGTGTTTTCACCAGAAAAAAAAGGGAAATAAAATGTCCTATTCTTTTTTCAAACATAATCATCTTCATTAATATTCCCAGTATAATGTATTACATTAGTGAACACAAAGTACAGCAGGCCAGTAAGTTGATTTAATCATTTTCCTGGAAAATGATTAAATCCACCATAGTATAACTATCCATTGTCCACAGAAAGGCACCAGCCAAACTAAAGACATAGAAAAATGAAGACTGTTAAATGGAAGAAGTTGTGAAAGCAAGTTTACCTAACAAGTTTACCTATTCAGCCACTGAGGCTTGGAAAAGCTTAAAAACTAACAAGTACAATGATGCTGTAACAGTGTTTGACAAAAAATGTAAGAAATATGCAGACTGGTTTGAAGAGCACTCTGAAACACTTCTACCAATGCTTGAGAACAAAATGACAGCACTAACCAACTGAAAGAAATGTAACACCATAACCCTGGAAAATCTATGAAATGCTCAAAAAATGCAAAAGGAGGCTAAGAGGTATGCCCAAGATTTTTGGCTGAAACTTTGTGATGTTATTCAGAAAGCAGCTGATTCAGATAATAGCCATGGGATGTATGAAGGTATCAAACCAGCAACTGGTCCAGTCAAAAAGAAAACATCTCCACTGAAAGACTTAAATGGAAATGTCCTTACTGATAAACAACTCAAGCATTGGATTGAACACTATAGAATTATATACATCAGTGAGAATGAAATCAAACAGGAAGAGCTCGAAGGACTACCACAGTTAAAAGTTATGATGGATTTGGACAATGAGCCTACATTAGAAGATTTCAAAAAGCCATCAATTGATTTCTGGAAACAAGGCATCTGGCAATGACTGCTTGCCTGCTAAAATCCACATATGTGTCAATGATGAATTTCTTTGAAAGTTTCATGAAGTTATACTCTGCTGGAAAGGGGAAGCAGTACTGCAAGATATCAAAGATGCTCAGTTTGTACAAGTATACAAAAACAAAGGGGATAGAAGAGACTATGACAAATACAGAGGTATTTCCCTGTTGAACATCATTGGACAAATTGTTACTTACATCATGCTCCCAAGGTTGCAATCTCTAGGAGAAAGAATCTATCCTGAAAGCCAATGAGGTTTTTGCTCAGGACAGTCCACCATATATATGATATTTTTAGATAAGCAACTACAAGAGAAATTTAGAGAAAAATGAATACCACTGTAAATAGCCTTCATTTGTCTGACCAAGGTGTTCAACACTATCAACAAATAGGCCTTTTTACTGTTCTGAAGAAACTGAGTTGTTCCCCCCAAACTGTTGAACATCATTCACCCATTACATCAAGGTATGAAAGCAACTATACTGTATGAAAACAAAGAATCAAATACCTTTGATGTCAACAACAGGGTGAAACGGAGGGGGGGGGGCCTGTTTTAGTTCCTGTGCTCTTTAACAGCTATTTTTAATTCCTGCTTCTTTGTGCATGCAAGAACAGCAATGATGACATTTATCTTTAACCAGACTAGATGGAGGCCTGTTTAACATCGCAAGGTTCAGAGTGAAAATCAAGGTGAAAGAACTGGTTCTGAGAGACTTGCTGTCTGCAGATGATGCAGCCCTGGTTGCTCACAGATCCCTGCAAAATCTCTTGGACAGATTTTGAGTCATACAAGAGCTTCAGAATGACAGTTAGTCTCAAGAAGTTTGTGATCATGTACCGAGGGGTGGAAGAACCAATGCTTGACATCACTGTGGAGATAAATCTGTCAGTGTCATTAATAGTTTTTGCTACTTAGGTTCTATGATCAGCAGGAATCTTGACCTTCAGAATCAGAATAGCAGCTAAGAATTTTGGGATATTAAAGAGATGTGCATGGAATAATAGCCAACTCTAAGCTAAGGTGAAGATGTGAAACTTGTGTGCTATCATCCCTGCTTTGTGGCTCAGAAATGTGGACTACATATGCTAGGCACATCAAGAGACTGAACGACTTCCACATAAAATCTCTGCATAAGTTCCAGAAAATCAAGTGGGAAGACAAAATACCAAACACAGATACTGGAGCATGCAGAACTGACAATTATAAACTAATATCCAGAAGAGGAGGTTGCAATGGATTGACCAGGTCAAGAGAATGGGAGGAGACTTTATCCACCAGAACATTTTGTGTGGAGAAATTCAAACAGCTCTAGAAAGTGGGGTTGCTCTCTATGGGGGTATCACAATGTGTGCAAAAATTATATGAAGTCATTTAACATCAATGTAGAAAGCTGGGAGGAGTATGCAGAGTCCTGTCCAATCTAAGGGGAACATCTGAGACTGGATGCAGTTCAACATCATGTGGCTTTGATCCAGAAGATAGAAGCAAAGCAAGAAAGAAGAAAGCAGCATGCTGTAAACTTGAAATCCAACTCAGAGAACACATGGATCAGTAGAACTTTTACCAAGCTGGGTTGCTTTTGAATCGGGCTTGTTAGCCACAAATGGATTCATTTGGCATCTGACTAGACCTCTTACATGTACACTATGATCCAGAGGATTGCTGACTGCCTATGTAATTGGGATGTCTCAGGTTTCCTTCAGGAAACATCTCTGTGTGCAAGGACTAACTCTAATCTGAGTCAGATCTCAGACTTTGGCCCAGTGGGAGTACTCACATGGACATTAGAGTTCTTGACCCAGTAACACAGGAAGGAAGAATTTTCAAATACCCTCTATAACCTGGGACAAGAAAGCAAATTGTGATACACTGAAACTTGTGACCCCATAAATTATTCCAGCTAATGGATGTAGTTTGTTTCCTTGCAGAAGTAGCACAGGGTATTGGAAATCTTCTGCCTGCAAATTCCATTAAACTCTTGGCAATGCACAGTGATCACCTCTTGGATCCCCTGCAACTCTCCCATATGGCCCACAACAGTTTCCTAGAAAGTGCCAACTTTTGATGGAGTTCCCTTTAGTATACAAATCGAAGCAAGGCAAATGCTACAAATGTGTCATAAACAGGCACTTCGCTATTTTTTGTCTGTGCTTATAGCTCCTTTCTGTAAGTAGTCTGTGGGTGTGTCTGCATCAGTGGTCACCAACCTGTCAATCCCAATCAACAGGTCAATTGGGGAGCCCCTGACAGTCGATATCAGTGTGGAGGAGCTAGCCCCCCCAGACTAAGATCAACTGACAGAGGTTCCAGAATTGGAAGTGGAAGGATGCACATGGGGAGCAGCCAGGACTCAGTCCGGGAGCTGCAGGACATATGAACAGCAGGATGCACTTGGCTGGGATGAGCCACGCTGCCTGCTGCTGGGGCCAGGCTGAATGACTGGGACAAACCTGCTCCATGCCCCTGCCACCAGATGAACGGGACCCTAGCTGGGTCAGACTGGGACAGGGTCAGAACCCAGGTAGCTCATCCAGGCACACAGAGAGGCTCCCACTGCGGTGGAAGCCCAGGATCATGTGCCCGCCTGATCTTTGCATAGGGTGAGGCAGCTGCTGCTGCATGCTGGGCTTTGTCTCCCAAGCCCTGCACAAAGCCCAGGGTGCAGCAACAGCCACCTCACTCCGCACGCAGATCAGGGAGGCACATGCCCCTCGGGCCTACACCAGGGTACATGCAGTATTGGGAGCCCCCTTGTGTGCCTGGACATAATGCCTGGCCTCTGACTCTCTCCTGGCTTGGCCCAGCCCGGCCAAATCCCCATTGACCCCAACACTGCCCCACTCCCTCTCTCACCGCGGGGCCTCAATCTGCCCCCTCCTCCCTGCCATACTGACCTGCTAGGCAAGGAGGCAGGGTGGGGGTGGGGGTGGGGGTGGAGGGGGCGGGGCAGGGGCAGGAGGTG